AAAATTATTTAAAATATTAAAAAAATTCAGTAAAAATAAAAAAAATACAAAAAATAAAAAAAAATATAATTTTTTAAAAAGTGTTTTTGTAAAACTCTAACCAAGCAAAGTTTTAGTTTAAAAGTCAAAAAATTACTAAAAAAATTAAAAAGCCTATAACTTATTCTAAAAAGTCAAAGATTTTCCTTTTGTCTCTACTTTTTGCATATCTTTTCGTGAAAAACTAAAAAATCATTTCAAACATGCAAGTTTTTTTTAATCTCATATTTTAGTCAAAAAATTATTAAAATAGCTTATTCCCAAACGAGCCCAAAATGACACATTCAAACCATAATCATTTCATTTTTTCTCTCACAAACATCACATCCAACCACAAAAAAACCCAACCATCTTTCCAAAAACAAAAAAAAAAAAAAAAAATTCAATAATATCCTACAATTCAAAAAACCTACAAAACACCTACTTCCCAAAGACCTACAATTCAAAAAACCTACAAAACACCTACTTCCCAAATTTTCCCAAAGACCCACTCTGCATATTTATGTATTGTATTTGCACTATTTCAATACATGTTACATTATTTACTTATATATATATATATATATATATTATTGTGTATTTGTTATTTATATATGCAGAGTGCAGTGGCAGTTCTTATTGGCGCTAAATTTGGAATAACAGGAGATGCTACCAATTTGGGAATCCTATATTCAAGCATCCTAGTATGTTGCATTTGTGTTTTCGTCACAGGTTTTGCATTCTCATGGGGTCCTTTGGGATGGTTGGTGCCTAGCGAAATCTTCCCTCTCGAGATTCGGTCATCCGCGCAGAGTATTGTCGTGGCTGGCTGGCTGTGAATATGTCATTCACTTTTCTCGTTGCCCAAGTCTTCCTTGCTGCTCTTTGCAGGGTCAAGTTCGGCCTATTCATCATCTTTGCCGGTTTAGTTCTAACCATGAGCCTTTTCGTCATCTTCTTCGTGCCGGAGACCAACAATATACCCATCGAAGAAATGTCACAAGTTTGGAGAGGGCACTGGTACTGGAAAAAAT